GTGTCCGAAGTGTGAGAGCGCGCGAGTCATTACAGCGTCTACAGCGTGGTCATGTGTGAGTCAGTCACGGGTGGATGACTGGCCAGACCGGATTAAGATAGACAGGTACTAGTGCTTAGGTACTTGCTATCAGCCGCGAGAGGTTGAGCGTGCACACTAAGTGGGGTCACTACATACCTTTCGACTACTTTCCAAGGACCTTAAACGGAAACTCCGCAGTCGAACGGGCTATTCGGATGCCGTTCTGCAGCTGGGAAAGACCGGCCAACTCCATGGTCAAACGGCTTAGAAGAGTCTAGATCGTATGCAAAACGCGAGCCCTCTTGACTGCGAATTACTTTACCTGGCTCTATAATTTTGCACTATAAGTGTCTGCCTTCTGTTGGGGAAAAATATCCGGGGAACCGCGAATGAAATCTGACAAAGCTCTGGCCTATCACCAATTCAAACTAAATAGCAACGACTGGAATTAAAAGATGCACCAGCCCCTCCAGCAAAGGCATTCGTTTTAATAGGACTAAGTTACTAGCTTGCTCAGCTTTGTAATTCACTTAGAAATTAATTTCCATGCTCGGTACGGATTAGTTTATCCAAGGTCTGTAGGCATGAACAAAAATTTGGTGTATATATTTGAACCGAACTCCGTCAGTTTAGAAATTAACTAATCTTTTGCTAATGTCTCTGATGATGAATCGGCGACGGATGTGGAAACGTCAGGCGAATAAACGTATTGTCCCAGCCATCGAGTCGTCTTCTTCTCGTGGATTAGTTTATTCAAGGTCTGTAGGCATATACCAAAAGTTGCTGTACAAATTTGAACCGAACTCCATCAGCCACTGTGGGATAACCGTCTAATCTACACATGCTGTCAACCGGCAGACGCTAGTATACATTGATGTTGTAATTTACCATACCGACAGCACGGTATAGACTGTTAACTAGTTCCTGTTTTTTCCGTAAAATACACTAAAACATCAATTTTTACTAGCTTGTGCCAACAGTGACAATGAGGTTCAGATTCTCTCTTGGGACGTTTGCTGGCGTCTTCTGTCCAATAGACGAATTTCTCCTGCCACATGAGGCGCCACTAAACGGAATCTTGAGCTCTCAGACATGTTTTTATCAGGTATTTTTTCACTTAAAGTTCCCTAATATGGTCGCGGAACTCTCCATACTTCTCGATCTGGCCGAACTCTGGGTGCTTACAGATCCTTTCTTCACCATCGTAGCGAAAAAGTGCACTCCCAGTGTTCCCCAAGATTGTTTCAAAATTTTCCTCTGGAGGCCTGCTTGCCAGCTCACTACTCCTTCGGCAGCCATCTACTTTGGTCTTGTACGGCCTTGAATTTAAATCGCGAAATTTTAGCGAACGGGAATTGTGCTACCGACGCCCTGTGATTACGGCTTTATGGAGTCAACTCAAGGTCAGAGAGTTAATTTACATAACCGCACTGTCAACTGTGGGCATCTCAAGTTCTAGGTGGGCAGTACACAGAGTCAGGCAGGTAAAACAACGGCGTCAACTCGTTTTGCGCTATTGTGCTTTTAGTCAGATGCTCAACCAGCGTTCGATTGGACTACTGTTGTGCCCCCATAAACCTTTTGAACGGAGGAAGGTGAGCCTACCGCACTAAATCTACAGACTTTTGGCTCGGCTGTCAAGGCTACAGCAATGAGACTAACACTGTGTGATGCACGCCGCCCGCATTTTTAGGTGTATCCGCCAGCTGGCATCTGTTGACCCGAGGCTGGATGTGAACCAAGCAAATCGAAGAGCAGCCTGGAGGTGTAGTGAAACCCAAAGAGACTCTGTCAACGGATGGACACACGTATAAGCGAACGTTAAAGCACATGGATTATGCTACTGCTGAGGATGATGATGATGATGATGATGATGAGGAGGAGGAGGAGGAGGAGGAGGAGGAGGAGGATGAATGTGGTTTACAGACTCTCGCGGGGGAAGGGTTACGTTGTTATTAGAAGGGTTTTTTCAGATTCGAATGATTCATTTGACCCAATTAGGATAAACTCGGCGGTCTCGGTGGGATTCGAACCCACGCCAGCAGGAGAAAGGCTCAAGTATAGCCAACGCTCGAGCTAACTGAGCTACTAAACCCCGGCCGGGAGTTGTGAATTTAATCACACTTGTGTCGGTTTATCCGCTCAGCCTACTGCAACCTATGATCCAAGTGAGACTAAATGCATGGCTCCCGGCGGGGGTCTCGTAGTGCAGTTGGCTAGAGCGTTGACTTTACTGAAGCCTTCCCCTTGCTGGCGTGGGTTCGAATCCTATCGAGGCTGCCGAGTTTCTCCCAATTGGGTCAAGTGCGCCACATTTTTTCATAATGATGATTGTGGTGATGATGAATACGGTTTACATAATGGTGAGAAGAAGTCTTCACTTTAAGGCCTTGAATCAAGGTTTAACCTGACTGGTGTGCAGAGAATCGTTTAAACCTTTCG